TCTTCGCCTGAAGCAATTAAGAGTAGACATGAAAATGGGTATGACATTTTTCAATTAGCAGTAATACATCGTTCAGACAAAATCTACAATCGCCTCTATCTAATTGGTGAGGATAAGAATCGCTATAGAACCATCAAAGATTCTTCAGAAAACAATATGTTACACTTGGCTGGAAGATTGGCACCTTCACAAGTACTCAAACGTAGAATAGGTGCAGCATTGTAACTACAAAGGGAGCTTCAATGGTTTGAGGTACATATATTAAATCCAAGTATGAATCATGATTTGTTAAGTAGTGGCCTAAAGATAAATGATCATATAGGAGCTGAAGAACTTCATGCATCCATCAGCCATTACTGAAGAAAACATTTTTGGAGAGACACCTCATCAGGTGTTTACAAGGGAACATGAGAACTTGGTGAAGGAGGGAGAAAAGTGGATGAAAACCACAGCAGAATCATGCAGTATCAGTGCTGCACTAATTACCACCATCGTATTTGCAGCAGCAATTACTGTACCGGGTGGAAGCGATCAACAAACAGGCATCCCCATGTTTAGAAAAGACATCGCCTTCACTATCTTCGCTATATCAGATGCAATCTCATTATTCACATCCACTTCTKCATTAATGGTGTTCTTGTCGATCCTCACTGCACGTTTTGCTGAGAATGATTTTTTGGTTARMTTACCRAAACGATTAATTATTGGCCTTTGCACATTGTTGCTCTCTATAACTTCCATGATGGTAGCCTTCGGTGCGACCTTGTACCTTCTCTTTTGTCGTGAAAACCCATGGATGCTTGGTCCAATATGTGGATTTTCTTGCCTCCCCATTCTGTTTTTTGTTACTCTACAATTCCCACTCATAGCTGATCTATATAGATCGACTTATGTACCCATCTTTCACAAAACGTTGGTTTAATCCACTCGACGTAGAAGTGTGTTTCGTTATGTGAAACTAGTATGTTGTTATTGGTTATAAGCCAAACGTCTTATATAAGACGTTATGTCTGACAGTTATCTGATACGTCCTTATCGTGTCAATTGTTGTCTTTGAAGGGTTGTGTCGGTTTGTTTTTCTGTTTATTGTAGTTGTGTCCCCTCTTCTACGAATGTAAAAGATATCAGTTTGAATAAGATATTCTGGTGACAGTTTGTATTTTACAACAAGTTGATATGTCCTAATTCTTGATCATGTATTCATCGACTCGAGTGGCCGATGTTGCTGCTTAGGTTCATCTAGTAAACATCATTAAAGGCATAGAAGATGTAAGATTTTACCTTTGAAGTCTGCAAGAATTCCAAACTTTGACATTATGAAATCAATTGTGTTTACCCAAGTATAACTATTAGCGATTTTCTTGGCCAGTAATCATTTATTGAACAAGAAAATGAACACTCAGATCCAAACATTGGGATGTGTCGTATTCTACTGAAACAAAATCTTCCATCTATATTGATCGATCTTCTTCAGACTATGGCCAACTTCATCTCCGTCTTCATTTTGTTCTATTAATAACTCTGYGCGTCAATTCTACAAGTGCCMGCCTTGATCTTTGAACATCCTCATCGTCGTTTTCCGGCAGCRAATCAATTGCAGCCGACGCWAGGCTTGCATGCTTTGCTGCTAGTTCCCTTGTTCTTTGTATTCCGTGACTTTTACCAAGATACTCGAGAGCCTGTATCAATTACCCAAAATCAATCACGAATATTACTTGTTGAATGTCGAGATTGAGAATCAAATGTTGGCATTCTTATCCCTATACCTAGGCTCAACCCTAATACTAGTCCCGTGAAAATTGCAAAGTTCGACTTGGTAACCAAAATATCCAACAAAATAAAGAAATCTTGCAAACCCAAATCAATATCATCGATTTCTTTGTGATGATGAACTCTCCAAGAAAGGAAATGTTTGCAATTTTTATAGGACTTCTCAAGAAGGGTTATTTTTCAACTAGAGATACACACATATTCGAGTTTGGGGCATACAGTTTATGCAGTATTAGCAACTGTATATAAGACCAGCAATCGTATGCTACGCCTAGTGACAAAGACTTACAAGATCCACATTGGCAGGGTCGTCTAATCCCTGGTCAACAACTGAGCGTAGTTCTAGGAACTCCTCCATTGCATATAATATTGGAGCTGTGACAATTCCCTGCAAAAATGAGCTATCARAACATAAAACAATCTGCAGCAAATGCCATAGTTCTGTAAAAGGAAAAAGAAACAATCTAAATTGGTAATAATAGTGTTCCTGACTGTTAAGCAACTTTTGCTTTATTTACCCAAAGGAACGTATCATGCCTCTAAACATAAAAAGAATATGCCAACGAAGTGAGTTGATTACATGGCGAATATCAGATAATGCGCCCTTCCCAAGAGATGATGATGTGCCTGTGAAATCAAGAACATCATCGATTAACTGGAACGCCAAACCCTGCAGGAAAGAGAAGATGATGAGTCAGAGTTACAATTATATTGGCCGGTTCGAGTGATATGCCAATAGACAATGCATCACCATTAACCACATTGTTGGCAAGTGATTCATATTGACCCTTGATAACATTAAAATATCAGTTCATTGAACTTCAAAAAATTCATTTGCTTCTTCGTTTAAGAAAACCAGCATGAATGTTACTCAAAATTATACTCATGAGTCATGTCCGTTTGGTAAATGGGTTTCCAAAACAAACCACATCTTATGCTTCGGAAAATTATCTATAACATACGATAACTACATTCTTGATGCTTACAGACCAGATTTTTCCCGTACTCGTATGCCAACATAGACACCTCTGCAGTTTGCCCAGTAAGAAGGGCAATGGATTTGCAGCTGTTTGATATCAGCGATRCAGTCTTGTAGTATGTCTTCTGCAAATAATAATCCATACTGCAATGGCAAAAATTTAATCAACTGAAAAATTGAAAGAGAAGTATGTCCAACCGAAAAACACTAACATTGTGAAACAGTCCATCAACGATCACAAAGGTATTAACTTTGACAACATATGAATATAAGGCTGGAATGTTTACGATCTTATACCTTCACTTCATGCCTAGACAGCGATATTAACTCACCACCAACAAAATGTGCCTTTTTAAGACGCACAGCCGTCCTAATAGAGTATTTCAAGACTTTAAGTTCATAGAAATAAAGTTCAGCATCCTATCTCATGCGTTACAATAAGTTGTTATATAGGCCACCTAACAAGTTTAGGCACCTTTCAACAGTGTCCTATAAAAGCTAATAGGGCAATTTCACTAACATTGTGAAACAGTCCATCAACGATCACAAAGGTATTAACTTTGATAACATATGGATATGAGGCTGGAATATTTACGATCTTCTGCCTCCACTTCATGCCTAGACAGCGATATTACACTGACCACCAACAAAATGTGCCTTTTAAGACACACAGACGTCCTAATAGAGTATTTCAAGACTTTAAGTTCATAGAACCAAAATTGAGCGTCCTATCTCGGACGTTACAATAAGTTGTTATATATGCCACCTAACAAGTTTAGGCACCTTTCAACAGTGTCCTATAAAAAGCTAATAGGGCAATTTACTTTTTATGTCATATTAGTTTCCCYAACTTCGTCCATATAATTTRTCAARTCGCTTTACTTCGTCCTAACAACTTATTGTAACACTTTCAGATAGAGCACACAGTTTCTGGTCCTATAAACTTAAAGTGTAGTTAAGTACTCTGTTAGGACGCCCAAGGATGGTGGTGCATCCTATAAGACCCACTTTGTTGTAATGGATTAAACTCTCCAATGCAGATTACACCACCAGAGAAGTAGCATACCTACTACGCTGCTCTGCTGATGTGCTCATTTGCATCGTCTCCCCAGTAACAAGATGCTCCACTGCWRTTGCTATTAGTGATACAACCTGCAACCAACAGTGGAATTCAATGAACATTTGTAAACAMCCATGTTAGAAGATGCAAGTCGCATGTATAAAGACATAAATAAATGGATACCTCTGTGTTTTTTAAAGAGGCAAGTGTGATACAAGCTCTAGAAAGCAAGAAATCTCCAGCCAATACTGCAAGCTGCATCATGAAAAGAGCAGTAGTATTTTAGTGGTAATGAAGGCAGTCTGGTTGATATGCATCATYAATTGCTCATGCAAATATTCCCATACTGAGTAAAATACTACTACAAGCAACATTTTCTTCTGAGAATAGCCAATTGTAAATATGTAGATGCATCACATGATATGGTATCAACCCAAACATCAAAACTTCAAGGTCAGGCACGGTGTTCAAGTCTTATAAGAGAGAAGTGGGTAGAGTATACTAGTTGGTGTGAGGAAAAAGTAAATGCATCAAAGTTAAAGCCATGCCGCTAAACAATCCAAGCTGCCTCATTTAGTTGAACCAAAAACCAAAGTACATTAKTAGTGAACTCTATTAAGTCGTCAACTGTTAGACATGGTGTCACGCTTTCCAGGCACAATCACAGGAATAATTAGACACAAGATATGGCAACCATATTAGGGTAATATAGGAACTATATTACTATCATAATAGAATTAGTCCATAATAAGGAGCTGGGAAAARAACGTATGTTGAATTTGATAATAGACGATAGGAAACCGATTCTTATGGAGTACCTACCTCTAGAGAGTAGGTATATTTTCCATTCATTTGGTAATTGTGCATCTGTATCCAATAGATCTTCTTCTGGTCCCAATCAAATTGGTATCAAAGGCTGCTTCTGGGTCAAGGCAGCCTAGAAGGATGAAGAATTCAAAAAACTAGAGATAAGAGGATGAGGAAGTCCGGTCAACCATGGTGGAGAAAGTTCAGGGATGAAGAAAAAGGTTGAAGCTGGATTTTTGTCCATGAAGCTAATGATGAATATATAGGAGATGCATACTACACAAAGGACACCACCTGCAACAATGATGGATGAAGGGGAAACTGGTGAGAAAAGCAAAACCTGAGAGAAAGGGAAGGGAGTGGGAATGGAAAGCGAAGGGGGAGCGAAGCCAGGGTGGCCAAGTCATGCCCTAGACGGCGGCAACGCCGACAGCCAACCTAGACAATGATTGGGAGCAGGGACCAGGATATGGGTGATCATGATTTAAGCAAGAGAGAAGGTGGGGCATCAACAGAGGCCATGGTGGTTTTCAGCAAACGGCGCTGGGGGCGTATGGGGAGATAACAGGGAGAAACAAGGTGGCAAAGGCTGGCTGCATGGGGTCAAGTGCGGCGATGAAAAGTATCATGAAGGCGAGACATGGAAGAGAAAGAAKGCTGTTATGGAGGGAGAGTGTTGTGTCCTTTGTGGGCCTCAGGGTAGGCCCAATTTTGGATGAAGACTTATTCATGGGCTGGAAGAAAGGCCTATCTTTTGTCCGCATGAGAAGGCGAAGAGAGACTGAATAATGGGCCAGCAGGGGTAAGGGAAGGCCCAAGAGAGAAAGCTTTTCTTTTGATCCATGAGGCCCAAAGCGGTAGAACAAAGCCAAAGAATTGACAAGGATGACATATTTCAAGGGGTCCACAAGTTAAGTGAGTAAAAGACTACAATTTTGACCCTCATGACGAGAAGATATACCATAGGAGAATTTGGAACAGACACAATCACAAAGGGGGAATTTCCTACTCAAAAGTTGGAAATACCAATTTTTAGGGAGAGGATGTGCAGAGGTTGCTAAGATGAGCGGACTGTTATTTCTACATTAATGGCCCGACTGGAGATGAAAGATTGTTCAGCTGGAAGAACTTATCGAAGTATGAGGCCACGTTGAAATTATTCCCACTCATACAACAATAATTTCCTTATGGGGAAGGTGTCTCATTGAAAGGCAGTAATATCAGATCAGTGCATGGGCCCAAGGCCATGCTGGTCTATTTCAAGCACAATCACAGTTATTATTAGCCGTAACTACAGCAACCGTATCATGGAAATATAGCTAGCCAAAATGCATGGCAACAGTATTATGAAATTACAGCAACCATATTATTACCATAATAAAATTAGTCTATAACGAGTTAGGAGAAGAACATATACTGAATTTGAACATAAACAATATAGAGTGTGAACGGAGCATCTTGGAGGGTGCCTACATCTTAAAAGTAGGTACATTTTATGTTTGTCGGGTATTCTAGCATTCACATTCAATAAATATTATGATGATTCTTAGGACTTTTTCAGAGATATATGACAACAACATACTTATATTGTTTATTTGAAGAAGAAATGTCACCTTATTTCCCATTACAAAGTTAAGAGAGCCAATCCCACGTCTTGTATCAGCATCATCCAGTACATCATCATGAAGGAGGCTGGCAACCTAAAAGGAGAAGGTTATTATCTTTCTACAGCATTGATAAGCAAGTACTTTACTTTCTAATAATAAACAAAGAAATTATCCTTCTTTGAAACAGTATAACACATCCCCAACAATGGGACGTAGGAAAAAGACCCTTGTGCTACAGCATTATGCTTGTATTTATAAGCTTTTGAAATAAACATGTTCTAAGCTTAAGGGTAATATAAGCATCCTATTATGTTTGGTTCCAACCAATAATCTTAGGGTAAATGAAACTTATCCATTGTTCTTCAATGATCCTATTTCCAAACAATAACAGAAAACAACAAATAGTACATGGTGCAACAGTGTCTAAAAAAGTTGTCTCATATTTGGATTCTGTCAAGTACAAATTGTTTGTAAAGCATAAAAACTTCCATGACTACAAAAAGAACGAAAAATGGAGAAACTATGAAAAGAAATTTGGAACAAAGAAGAAAGCCACAACATTCACTTTGACAAAATCAAAAGGGGAATAAGGGTTTCTTCTATAATTTCAAATTTATGGTTAGTAAAATCAGTTGATAATAACAGTGTAAAATGATCTAAAATGACATGATGAAGAATATTCACACAATCTAACTAAACAAATAACTTATACTTTTTATCATATTAAATATAAATAGTATTAAAAATAAAAGGGTTTTTAAACCGTTTTATATAAAATAAAATTACGAAATTAACATAATTAATTGGAAATAAATTAAAAAAAAAAACATCTTAGAACATACATTTTATCGTATTAAATATAAGTAGTATTAAAAACAGAGTCTTTTTAATAAATTCAAAAATTAAATCTTCTAATCTAAGTTGCAAATTGTTAAATCAAGATTTCTTAATTAAACCGTCGAATTGTTTAAATTTAAAAAAAATCCTTAAATTTAATTGATTAAATCAATATTTTTTTAATTAAACCGGCGAACTGTTTCCGGCTTCCGGAATCCGCCGGTAAAATAAAGCATCCACCGGTAAACTAATTACCGGCGCCAACTTTTCCGGCAACCATATCCGCCGAAAATCCGCCGGTAATATGCATTTCCGGCAGATATGGCCGCCGAAAAAATTCCCCTATTTGGTAGTGCATGTTACGTAATATCTGACAACTGTAAGATGATTTAATTTTTTCAGTAAGTTTAAAAATTAAACCGTCTTATTCAGATATCCCGTAACATGTTGTTTAGGCTTGAATTCTGATTCTAAAAAATACTGACAGTACAGAAGCATCACATTTTTTATTCCGGTTAACGTAACGTAAGTAGAGATGGCCATTGGGCCCGACCCGGCCCGTAACCGACGGAGGCCCGGAACCGAGCCCGGTGCATAACCGGGACCGGCCTTAACCGGTTAAGGACCGGCGGTTATGCAACCGGTTGGTGTTTTTAGCGATTTTCTGGACCGGAACCGGTTACACAACCGGTTATGGGCCCGGCCCGGCCCGGTCCGGTCAATGAAAAAGTCAAAGTTACCGTTAGAAAGTCAAACTATCCGTTAAAAAGTCAAACTAGCCGTTTATGACCGTTAGTTACCGTTTTTTGCGTTTTTTTATCTTCTTAGCTACCAAAACATGTATAAATAGAGATGGAAGTTCCTTAGTTAGTTACCAACACTTCTCATCTTCAAAAACGCAAAAAACGCTCTCAATTCTCGGTTTTTCGCTTCATTTGTTGAATTCGTTACATATTAATTTCTCGTTTCCACTTCATAATTCTCGTTTATTTCTCTCTTTTACCTACGATTTACAAAATGGCCGGTGAACAAACCTCAAACGAACAAATTGCCCAAGTTCTCGCCGAACACGGATGAAAGTCCGAGATTTGGAATCACTACGACTTGGTGGTTCTCACGACCGGGAAACGAAAGGCACAATGCAAAATGTGTCAAACTCTCCTTACGGCGGAAGGAAATTCTACGTTAAGAAGGCACACCGAAAAAACGTGCCCGGGGAACCGGTCGGCGGGTGATTCGAGTTCGAGCCAACCGATACTTGACACACAAGGTCAAATATGGAACTACGATGCCGATTTAAACCGACAAATGACTACAAAATGTGTCATTCAAGTCGGTTTGCCTTTTGGACACTTCGACAACCCTCACGTTACGAAGATGATTCAAAAGACGCTACAACCACGATACAGGCCGGTAAGTCGTCAAACCCTTAGACGTGATGCTATAAAAATGTGAACAATTGCCAAAGACGATATGCAACAAATGTTTTCTTCTTTGCCTAACAATATTTCTTTAACGTGTGATGTATGAAGCGCACCATACGGATTGCCGGTTTCTTATATATGCATAACGGCACATTGGGTTGACCCTAACACATGGCAATTATTCAAACGTGTAATCGCGTTT